CCTTGTATCTGCTCTTCAAAACCAAAGAAAGCGGAGAATGCTAAGAGAGTGGATGGGGAGATGTTATAAGCACCTATCTCTGTGATACTTCATAACTCAGCTCACACAATTATGAAAGTCTTTTTTTATATGACTAGAGAAGTCAGTTATTGAATTAATAGAAGTGAGAGTGACCAGTAATCATCAACCAAGTTGAGCCGGGACATTGTAGAGGCCAAATCAGAGTAAGGTAACTAAAAATATCATAAGCCATCACATTTTCATGAGATTTCCACTTTTTCACATGGATTATGGTAACTCTGGTAAAAGCAAGGACCCTCCCACACATAATTTTCCCACAGGAATCGGAAGATAACCTTTCACTAACCTCTCACCCACCATGATTTTAGACCTGTGTTATTGCAGCATGTGATCTATGCATGCCATTTGAAGATATAACTGATCCACACTCAATTTCAGTCTGTTTCATGCAGGATTCTCTAAAACAGGGGCTGTATCATATATTGGGGGGGTAGGGGGGATGTTTCTATGTCCCAGGAGACAGCGTTAATAATGTTAAAACTATGTGCAAATTTTATACTTCTGAGAATGAAAATACAGTCTTACCATAATAAACAAACAAAAAAAAACCATTCTATTCTGAAGGCCCCCAACAAATGGCAAGTCCTGAGTTCTCCCCCTTAGGCTAACATGGAGGGAGGCGTCAGCTTCGGTTCTGTTCTTAGTAACAGTGCTCAATGTTTGCTTACAGAATGACGTGTCTGCACTTCTGAAACCGATATCAGAAAAGATTCAGGAAATCCAAACTTTCAGAGAAAGGAACCGGGGCAGTGCAATGTTTAACCATCTCTCGGCTGTCAGCGAAAGCATCCCCGCTCTGGGGTGGATAGCTGTGGTAAGTCCAGATGCAGGGTTGCCCCTGTACCGCTTCACAATTTGGGAGTGTTTAAGAGAATCCATAGCTACCTTCAGGCTCCTTTGTCCTCTGTCTGTTACACTGGGCAGGCTGATTACATCAGCTCTTTCTTACCTTTTGAAGTTCAATGCTTTGTGTTCTAAGATATGGAAAGTGTTTGATCGATCTTTACAGAGCAAAATTTACCTCCAACTTTCGAGTCAACATCTCCATTGATTTTCTTCTTCTTTAAGACATTTTCCTTCTTATCCTTTTTTTTTTTTTCCTTCTATGCTTGGGTGATGGTCCCAATGTCTCAGTCTCCCAAACCTGGTCCTTATGTCAAGGAAATGAATGATGCTGCCACCTTTTACACTAACAGGGTTTTAAAGGACTACAAGCACAGGTATGTACCATCTTTTGCTGACCAAAATTTCAGTTGATTGCTTATTAGACATTTGTTCCTAAATTTTAATATAGTTCATTAATAATTCCTTTCAAAGGCTCTTAACTAGTTTACTATTAGTGTTAAAAGAAAAATCCTATCTTTGCAGGTAAAGCAAAGTGGAAAGTGAAATCAGTTATCCATGTGTTTTAGAAAGTCTGCCTCAATTCTCTCATAATTGAATAGACTCTCTTCACTTGAATGCATGCTATCTATTACATATGCCCACAATAGTGAGAGAGCCCTGTGATGGTTTGTGATGGACCAGCTCTATATGGTCACAAAACTTTTACATTGTCAAAATAAACTTGGTGGGTGAGCAGAGAGAAGAAAGAAGGAATCAGGAAATGAAGTACAAAATGAGATGAGACAAACCAATGAGAAGGAAGATTGCATTAAGAGGAAATACAATTGGGGTGGACAGAGAGACAGTTATTAGAATAGCTATCATTCAGAGGACTGTTGGGAGTACAGGTGAGTCTGAACCAAGGGGTTTTCCCTGCCAGAAGAACCAGCTTTAAAAGTCATTGCACTCTACAGCACAAATAATTGATCCTAAAGAGACTTAAACTGGGGTTAGAATTGAAAATGGGACCAAATAGAAAGATGCCATACATGAATATCCAGGAAAATGTCTCCTAAACTCCCTTCACAGAGTTTAGTCATTCCATGTTAGCAAAACAGGTCTTGTAGCTTTTAAGAAGGGCAGCTTTAGGAGACAGCAACATGCCTCTTTCTTCTTCCACCCCGAAGGAACTTTGATGAACATGACTACTCATATACCCAGTAACATACTTCCTGCACCCAGAGAACTGTGGTTGAGGCAATTGTGTGCAATGAAAAAACTCCAAATGTTGCCATGTTTTATTAGACTATCGAATTGTACGGTATGAATGAGAAAAAGCATCAGAATTTTAAGACAGCCACTCTCACATAAAAATAACAGTTCAGGAAAGAACAAATGTAAGTTACGAAACCTGGACATAAAAATGTGGTCATGAACATTAACCCATAGTGATTTCCACATCATAAAAGATCTGTACTTAGTCTTTGTTTCAGGATGCACAGACACATACCTACACATGCCTATTCAGGACACCTTAGGCATCCCGTAGGCCTCTGTCTTTTTCATATCATGCTTGGAGGCCATTTTTATTTTTATTTCAGGTCATCAGCTCCTTTTTCCTTCCAGTCCCTACTTGAGGCTATGTTGGGACCATGGGTGTGAGTGATTCTTTCCACGTGGCAGCCTGGCAAGGAAGGTTGTGGCTTTCCACTTTTTTGTACACACAAATAGAGTCCAGTATTTGTCCCTCCATGTCAACTATTGAGTAGAAAACATACTCCTGGCAGCATCAAGGACAACTCAATTATACGTAACAGACCACCTGAAGACTGTTTAATATGCCGGGGAAATGCAGCTGTAAGTGTGGATTCATTCACTTCACTTCCAGAAGTAGTCAGACCAGTCCTAAGCCACCGGTTGGCTTTCAGGGGTGGTACCCTGACAGAAGCAGAATACTGCACACCACTCATTTAACACCCATTTATTTGTGCACCCATGGCAGCTGTGCCTCACTCTGTGCTCTCAGTGCTGGCTGCGGGACATTGCAGCTCTTTGCTACTCATTGCTGCCTACCTGCAGACAGGCCCATCGGTAAAGGAGTTGAGTCAGGCTTCCTGTGGTTGAAACACAAGAGCCGTGGGCAGTGGAGTCTGCATCTGTGCAGCCCTTATGACTGGCTTGACTGGTTTTTTGGCTCTTTTTCAATAAATGAATAGAGTCAGTTAATTAATTTGACTTTATAGAGGTTTGGCTTCTCTGAGTCATAATCATGATAATCACATGCCCCTATCATAGGTTCTTCCAGGGTAAGTGAAAACTGAGGATGGGTTTGCAGCTCCTGATATGTAGTTGGCTCCTGCTCAGTGTGTTTTCTCAGTGTGAGATCAACTTCAGACTAAAAGATACCATATTGTCATTCCTGATTACAATTTTGCTAGAGCTTTTTTCAAGTCAAAAATCATACTGCAATAGTTAAAAGGAAAATGAATTTGACTATACATATTTGAACTTCATCACTTGTTAAATTTTTTAATAGGAAGTATATTGAACATACAGCCTGCTATTTCTATAATGTCTACAGACATGTGTGTATTGTATGAACATACACATATGTACATATGTGCATATACGTATTAAATAACTACATATAGAACTATGTATGTAATTAATTTTGAAATGACTTTAGTGTTCTAATAATAGCAGTTGTATATGTTCAGGGCTCTGTACTGAGACCCTCACAAAACCTCATAAGATAAGGAAACTGATGTGAGAGACCTGTGGAGCCACACTTAGACTTTTGGGTTTTAACTGGGAAAGTGAGAGAAAGTGACAGTGAGATTTTTCACAGATTTGATTCATATAATCACCAAATATAAAAATGTGGAATAAAACCACCCTCACTTTTTTTCCTCTTTGAGAGGTGGATAATTATGACTTCAGCTCCCCCATTTCACTTCTCTTAAATGGCATGACTTAATACAATGGGATTCTAAACTGGTGGTACTTGGAGCTTTTTCAAGGACAACAAAATAAAATATGTCCTTGAATAAATAAATAAATAAAATAATGACTGTCGTTATTGACAAAAGCTTTAATAAGAGAGATTTCCTTCAGTGATTATCTACAGATTAATGGCCCAGGTTCATGATTAAAATTTTGTTAACTGAGAGCTCATCATTTTACCATTTACTACTACTTCATTCAAAGTGGAAAAAATGAGTATGAGCAGGTAAAAATTTTCCAAAGGAAATGCAACTATTTTTGCCTATCATAAGTTTAATATTTGTTAACGGTTGTTCTCAATCCTATATATTAATCCTGTTATGAAAGGTAAGCATTTTATTACATTTTGGTTCAGTAAAATTGGGCTAAAAATACTGGTAATAACCTGCCTAACCTGCATTGTCATTAAGAGTATCAAATAAAGGTAATTTAAGTGACTATCCCTTTAGAAGTATTAATGTTATCCATTTCTCAGAAATCATTTTTCTTACAACTTCCTTACCATTCTAAAATTCTCCAATTTGGTTACACTTTCAACTGAATAATTCAACCAAATCACTAGAAAACAAACTGAAGAAGTTTTTTTCTTTTTAATACCATTCTCCTTCCTAAAAGCTCATTGTTTTTCATTTTGCATCAGAGGGGGTGCAGAAAGAAATGGCCTCCTCTCCACATTCATCTCCCCATGAGAGGTGACATGAGGACACACGGCCCAAATTGGCTTGGTTCTGTGGGGTTCCCCTTTGTGGACCTCTCTGCTCTACACCTGGTGATCAGGGCATTCAGCTCCTCTCAGCAGAGACCCTGACCACCGTCCTTTCAGGGTTCTCTTTGGAATCGGTTCACAGTGACTGGACTAGAAAGACAATTGCTCCAGGGTCATATGGAGCCTCAGTTACTGGATTACCTTATGCCCACCCCACCCCACCCCAGTTTTTTAAAAAAATTATTTTAGATCCTAACGCCTCTGTCTTTTATAACAAAGTGATTTACGCCATGTGGATTGGGTGAAGTCATATTTGAACATTTGGAGTGAGCTTCAAGCATACATCAAAGAACACCACACTACAGGTCTCACCTGGAGCAAAACAGTAAGTACCAAGCCCTCTTCCACCTGGGTAACAGAACACCACAAAAATATTCTTTCCCAGTAGCCTAATAATCTCACACTTTAGAATTTACCTCAAGGAAAGCATAAGATAAAATATACATATAAGTAGAAACTATTTATGAAAATGTCATGTCATAGGAATATCTGGAAACTGCCTACATGACATACAGAAAAAAAAAGATTAAGTTTTCTGTAGTAAAACACAATGAAGCATGCTACAGCCACTAAAAATAATGTGATAATTACATGGGAAATGATTTACTAGTCACTTAAGTGACAGAGTGGTAAAGTTTGAGAACTAAGATGACATATACAAGTATATTAAGAAACTGTGTGATAAAAATTGAAGGATACAGGAAGTTTTGAAGTCGTTATTTTAAGGAGATAGAATTATGAATGAAATGTCTTTTTTAATGTTTTTTATTTCTCTTTTGGTATTTTAAGGTTTATTGAATATTTTTGAATGCTTAGGCAATTCTAGTACTTCGTATGGTATTCTAGTCCTAGGTTAAAACCCCAGCCTGTGTCTGTTCCCACTTTAATTCCCACATGTGATGTTGCTCTGATCTTTGTCCTCTTCTTCAGCCTTCTCTCTTACCTTCCCTTGTCTTATTTCTACCCAGTACTGCCCACCTACTTATGGAATCCTGAACACATGCAATGCTTAGGTGAAACCAAATCAAATTGTTGTTGTTGTTGTTTCAGATTTTTCAAATTTCATGTCGTTTAGCCTTTATTGCAATGTCCCAAACAAATATTGTGCTGCATGACCTGAGTTCCCTGGGAAAAGCACCCCTCCCTCTTCACAGCTTCAATATCACCTCTTTAAGAAATTTCCATTAGGCTGGCCGAGTGACTCAGTTGGTAAAGAGTGCAAGCTCTGAGCAACAGGGTTGCCGGTTTGATTCCCACATGGGCCAGTGAGCTGCGCCCGAGTTGAGCTGCCTCTGAACTGCCAACAGGTGGTAGGATGGCTCAGCTGGTGAGAGCATGAGCTCCTAACAACAAGGTTGCCGGTTCGACTCCTGCATGGAATGGTGGGCTATGCCCACCCGCAACTAAGATTGAACACGGCACCTAGAGCTGACTGGCCGCGAGCTGCCGTTGGGCAGTCAGATGGCAACTGGACTTGGAGCTGAGCTAGCTGCACCCTCCACAACTAAGACTGAAGGACAAAAACTTGGCTACTCCCCTTCTGCAATTCCCCAACACTGTTCCCCTTCCCCAATTCCCCAATAAAAAAATCTCTAAAAAAAGAGAGACATTCTCATTAATCTCCATCAGCTCCTTATCTGGAATGGATAACCCTCCTCTCTGCCTCCTTCAAAGCTTGAGTATACCTCAATCATAGGCCTTAGCATATAGAACTATAATTTTTTGTGTGCTTTTGGAGTTCTCTCCCTCTACTGGAAACTCATCTCTGTCTCCAGCTCCTAACACAGTACCTGGCACGGAATAAGTACTCAGTAAGTAGTTTGGACTAAACTGTAATTAGTAACCTCTTAGAATCTCCCTTGCCCTTTTAAGACTGCACACTTGTTTGGGAAATGCTTCTCATGGAAAAATCCCTTCCATTAGAAATGAATATTACCTTTCTCTGGTCACAGTCAACATTGAGAAGACGAACTGGTGAATTTCATATTTGTGAATTCTGTTCAAGGTTAGAACTCATACTCTCCTCCTGATAGCCTTACTCCAGCACCTAACCCTTGTTCTGAATGTTAATGTCAGTAGAGCAGGCTTAACACCAAGGCAGAGTTGTGATGTTTCAAGGGAGTGTGGCACTTCTGCATTTGCTCCCCAATACTTGTACGTATGTTAACACTAACCCCTAAAGACTGACTCTTTTCATTTTCTACTTTGCCTATTTTCTCTATAAGCTGCAATGCACAGTGCAAGATACAACAACTAAGTTGATTATTTTTCTTCTGCCTACAATATTATGATTTCTGAGAAGAGAATTCATAAACATTTGAAGGGATTTAATACAGAGGGTATGTGTGGATGTGGGTGGGTGTTTGTGTAGACTAATTGGAATTATTTTTCATACATTTCCAATGAGATGTCATTTTGCAGTAAATCAATTTGTCAGAAAGGGGAATTGTCACATGTTTGCCATAGAGGTGGGTCATTATGAGAGAATAGCAAAGTAAACATCAAGAGTCCTTGAATATCTTATTATTTCATGATAGATAAATGGGAAACAAATGAGAATCTATTTGTGGAAAATAATCATGTCAACAAATGCTAGCCTATTCTCTAATGGTGCCCATGGAAAATTAATAGAAATTATTTTTAAATGGTTTGAATACTTTTAATGCAATGTACAGAGCTGAGTAATTGTGTTTTGAATATATAAAAGAATTGATTATTAATTATAGAAAAATAAAAGTGGTTGTTTTCCTTTGTTCTAGAGTGAATACTTATATTTTTATTATGTTCATCAGAAATATATGCCTTGTAATAGTGACTTTCAAGCTTTTAAGACAATCCATAGTAAGAAGTACATTTTATCCACACACACACCCTGCCCACAACGCTAGAACAAGTTTCATAAAACAACACTTTCTTCCACCACATGAAATGCATTCAGATGTTTTCTATTTTATTTCATTTTTTATAAAATTCTGGCTGAGACCCACAAAATTGATTTTGCAGCCCACTAGTGGGTCACATCCCACATTTTGAAAAACATGTTATAAGAGATAAATGTTATACAAAACAGAAATGACCCTTAGAGCACACAGTGGGCAGCATTGCCATAATAATAATGACAGCTAATATTTATTGAGCACATGTCATGCTATGGGAAAATTCTATTAAAAATGGTAACCATTGTAAAGCAGAGGATCTATTTCACTTCTTTAAGGAAAGAGTAGTATGATCATGTTTTGGTCAGTGAGAAATGATTATTGTAAGAAAATGTTGGTTCAGAGATAACATCATATGTACAGAATCTTTTGGCAAGCTTTAAGACGTGTAAATGGAAACATATTTCCTGCTATTTTTGTCCTCTTCTAAGATTTGGGGTAAAAAAGCCATTTAAAAATATATTATAAAAAGTGTAGTTTTAATTTTAAATCTAAATTTCTATTTAAATTATTAAAAACTATTTAAAAGATTCTAAAACAATCTACAGCATAAATCAAACTAACTTCTCCTTAGTTACTATGGTCGGTCGAGAAACCAGCAAATTGAATGATGAACAATTATAGCCAGAATCACAGCATTCTTGCACAGGAAAGGAAAAGGGCTCTTAGAATTATCTGATCAAATGGCACTTGGGAAGAAAAAAACATAAAAATGATTTCATTTATTTGCTTACTGATCACAACTATGTAAAAAGTAAGTATGTATAAAATGATAAGGATCCAAAAAGAATGTAGAAAGGTGATCTTGGTGTTCTTTGATTCCTCAATATTCGGAGGTTTTAAGAATCACGATCTATCTTAGTGGACAGTTCATACGATACTTCTACATGCACCACAAAAAGCTTGTGGCAACCTAACGTATTATTCTATGGGAAATTGTATTCAAAATGGTAATCACTCTAAGGCAGAGAGCATCTACCTCATCTCTTTAATAGAAGAGTGAGACAATAAAGTTTTGGCCGGATATTAAAAGTGAGGAATGACTAGGGCAAGAAAACGCTGGTTCAGAAATAACATCATAGGTGTAGAATCTTTTGATAGGCTTTATGACATATGCATAGAAATGTTGTTCCCTGATATTTTTGTCCTCTTCTAAGATTTGGGATAAAAAAAAAACTATTACAAAATATATATTTTTTTAAATTATAGTTGTTAATTTAAAATCTACATTTCAAGTATTTTGAGTAACTTCTTTCTTTTTTCAAATTGGGTTTTGAGATTTGCGCTTTTTGGGGTTTTTAGTGACCAACTGCATGCTGCTGGGGACTCTGAGTTTCCAAGGGTACATGGCTCTAAGAAAGAATCATTCCCCCTGAGTTAGCACTTGGAACTGTATTTGCCTACCCCCACCTCCTAACCTTTGCATTCAGGCTGCAGCTGTGTTGGACAACTGTTGCTCCCTTCATTATCACAGCGAAATGTACAACTTTGAGGCCAGCAATATTTCAGGACAGTGATTGGCAAGAGTGCGAGCGTGTGTGTGTTTGTGTGTGTGTGTGTGTGTGTGTGTGTGTGTGCTGGCATGGAGATGGGGGTGCGTTTGGGAAAAGAAGCAGCTGTGGAGTAATCTATCTGGAATTCCTTGTTACATTTACTGTGGCCAATGGAATCTTCTTATTCCTGTCAGCTTTTCTTCAATCTGACTATGGACTAAAGGACTCTACACCAGAAACTTCTTGTAGTTTTGAGTTAGTTTAATTATTGGGAACTCTTTTTCATGTTAATTTACACAGTTTTCTCAGCACTAGGTCTCAAATGCACTTTGTAGAATAAATTGATCTTTTGGCAGGAACCCAATACAGACACTGTTATTTATTATCCCTTGCAGTTGGTCAGATTTATAATATTCATTGGTAGTTTCTGCAAATCAGATAACTAAAGCTGAAAGACTAACACCTAATCTTTCCACTTAATGATTACTGACATAAAATGAATTTTTCTATGAATGGTCTAGATCAACGTTCCAACTATTATTCTATTCTGTGTGGATCTGGCCAGGAAAAGGTCATGAAAAGAATTTCATAAATAGGATAAAATGTGGTTGTTTTCTTAACTTTCTGGTGTTAAACTTGTTGACAGATTCTTGTCCCTTCACATGTCTTTCTGGATTACTTTAGCTTTGGAAACAACCAGGGTATAATTATTTGTAGAGTAGAATAAAAATACACATAAATGAATGCATATAAAGTCTTATGTAATGATGATGTAATTCTTTCTGTTAATAATGTGGATTTTAAAAATCTATCCTATGTACCAATTGTCTTCCATCCTAACTTCCCCTGAACCTCCAGAAAATGCAAATAGCTAGGAATGATTACAATTGTAGACG